AGTGATTTGATATTAACTCAAAGGAAGGGTTCAGAAGGGATCTTTTCAAAAGGACTGTAGATCTGCCTTTAGCCGTATTATCTGAATGTTTCTCATGGGCCAGTGTAGATGACAGAAACCAGGATATGTGTGGCAGGAGAAAGTGAAAAAGAGAATTCAGCCACCATTTTACCTGTCTTCTCTCTTTTTTTTTTTTCTTTTATTTGGCTGCACCAGGTTTTAGTACAGTTTGCAGGCACTTTAGTTGTGGCATGTGAACTCTTAGTTGCAGCATGTGGGATCTAGTTCCCTGACTAGGGATTGAACCCGGGCTCCCTGCATTGGGAGTGTGGAGTCTTAGCCACTGGATCACCAGGGAGGTCCCTATCTGTCTTCTTTTGATGAAAATTCACTCTGGAGAAATGGCAACTGGTGAGTAGGTAACCCAAGATAAATTCCAAAGCACCAAGAAAAATTCTCTAGAAATTTCTTCCCCCCTAACATGTGTTCTTCAAACAAGGGTTCAGTGGACCACTTCAAAGAAATGAGGCTCCAGGGAATTTGTGACATCTTCCTATTTGTTGTTTTTCCCTTTTAAATTGTATGGAAAAACTTTAGGATTTTTCTCTTCCTACAAATATTACAACTTTCTCCATGGGTAAATGGTACTAACCCTAGGATTAAACCAATCTACTCTAAAAAAAGGAAGAAAGGAATCTCTACAGAAAGGAAGAAAGTGGATCAATGTTATCATTATCCTCCTTATTGGACCAACTGAGGATAAAGAGGTAAGGACTGGTGTGGGCTTTGCCTCCTCAGTCATCCCAATATAAGGTTGAACTTGACTGCATACAAAATTTCAATAAGGAAGTCTTACTTGTAATTAATTATGAAGATAGCACCTGCTGTTCTTGATATTTACAATGAACTTTTTTTTTTTTGTATATTCTCATATCTGTTCAAGTCAGGAAAAATGAACTCATGTGGGTCTTTCAAGAAAGGACTACATTACCAGCTTTAAAATTAGCTTTCTGCAAGTCAGCTGTGCTGACATGCTCTACAGATGGGATGTATTTTCACTCAATCAGGAAATACTTCAAAGTGAACCAAAGCAGCATTGATGGGTTCTTGTAAGATTTTATATCTTCCTTTATAGAACTCCAGTGATGGGCCAGACTTTCAAAGATTTATTTCCATATCATGTGCTTCATTTTTAACCTCTAAATCATTTTTTGTCCTCGTAAATGAATACCAGTGATTCAGATTTTTAAAATATATCCTTGGAAGATAAACTAAATTCCTTTGGTCTTTTGTGTAAATATAACTGGGCAGATATTAGACTAGCACTCTCATATGAATATACAACTTTCAGTGGTGCCCAGGAGAGAATAACTGACTTAGGAATAACAGGCTCTTGCATACTCAAAATGAACTGCTGACCCGAATTCTTAAATAAGACCTAGGGTTTTCTAGACACGATGATAGATTTGTGCTGACCTATTTGCACCACTGCCTGTCCCCACTGGGATCAATATCATGCAGGAATAAGGTGGCTGACTGAGGATAAAAATTCTATTTGTGACTTGATTCACCACATATTGAATTCTGTTGTACAGTGACTAGTGAGGCTCCTACTCTTTCAGTATGTTTTATTACTGAAGTATTAGGCTGAACTGTATGAAAGTGATGTTTTTGTTGGTCAAAATAAGGAAGCTGAACATCATTTTCTTGTTTTCCTATGAGTCAAACCAATACCAAAAGAACTTTTTTAAGAGATTGTTTTGTCATGTCCTTTTAGCATGGACTTTGTAACATCAGTCTAAAATTAATCCTAATACTTTGTTGTTGTTCTTATTTCCTGCTGGCTTACTTGTCTTTTTAACTTTTAATGTTGTGGATGTCGTGTTTATGGTTTTCCTCTTTGTTTCTTGATTACTTTGCATAATTTATCAAAAAAGACCAAATATGCCTCTTCTATACTGATGACACATAAAACAGAACACAGATTCTAAGCCTAAATCTTTCTTCAATAAATTTTTAAGAAAAGAAACACAGTATTGTTGAGCTGAGTGATCTCATGACATAAGCAAAACTGTGTTGGCCAGATGACTGCTGGCGTTTTGCTGAGTGGTTTACACAATCTCTGAAATAATAAGAATGTGTCCCCTGCAGTTACCATGAGTCCTTTTTTGGTGGATGTGTTTACAGTGAGTCATATAAATCTTCAATCCCTCACACACATCCCAGTGCAAAGAATTTATCAGCAACTTCTAGGAAATTACAAAAGCATGAATGAATCCAAAATGCCAACTTAAAAAAGTACATACTCAGTTCCAGGTCATTTTTGGTAGAAAATATGAAAAGAAAAATTTTTTTAAATAAAAATGATGGATTCTTTCAATATTTTAGGAGAAAACCCAAAGTCACCTAGTTAACTCTAAAACTCCCAAAATAATTCAGGGCCATGAGAAATATGTTTTTGACAGCTAGATACTTGAAGTAACTCTGCCAGTTTTCTTTCACATTTTCACAAGTTTAAACATCACCGTATAGCACATCTTAAATGATTTAAGTTAAACTTAAAAAAAAAAACCCAACTATTCTGGTAGATGAAAAGTATCTAATATTTTGCTACAGACATCCTCTATCAAACTGGAAAATTCACTTAACCTTTCTTATATTAAATTCTCCAACATTTGTGTTAACTTATTAGCGAAACATGCAATTTAAAGAGTTTGTGTTAATTCAGTCTTACTGATTTCAGCTACTTTCAAGTCCTGGTATACTTAATTATCCAAAACTTAAATTTAATAAGAGCAATGTCACTTTTATTGTTACCATTTTATAAAATAAGTTTAATAAAGTTAATCAATAAATTAATGTAAAAGCTTTTGAATGTGTCAGATTTCCTAGAGATCACCACACTAAGTGAAGTAAGCTGGACAGAGAAAGAAAAATATCATGATTTGCTTATATGTGGAATCTAAAAAAAATGGCACAAAATGAACTTATACACAAGACAAAAGTAGATCCACAAACAATAGATAAAAAAACTTATGGTTACCAAAGGGGAAAGGCAGGGAGGGATAAATTAGGAGTTTGGGGTTAACATATGTACACTACTATATATAAAATAGATAACCAACAGGACCTACTATATAGCAAAGGGAGATAAACTCAATATTTTGTAATAATCTATAAGGGAGAAGAATCTGAAAAAGAATATACATATGTATATATAGCTGAATCAGTTTGCTGTACATCTGAAACTAACACAACACTGTAAGTCTACTATACTTCAATTAAAACAAGAAAATGTCAAGATTCTATACAAACATGCTAAACAGTAGTAATCGCCATTATCAAATGTTTGAATCCCCCTTTTCTTTTGTGAGCATGAGAATCCACTCTTTCATCTGATCTGGAGTGGGAGATATGGGAGTAATAAGTAGAGAATAGGAAAACCCTCCTAGTCCCTAAACATGAAAGGGGATGATAGTCAGTAAGGTGGGTAGATATGAATTAAATTCACTATCCCACAGCTGTGCTACACTTTCTAGACGAGGTGCTGCCTGGCTTTTTTCTATGAGAGCTGTAACCTGTGAAAAGATGTCATGACCTACAAGTGGGCGAGGACCGTCATCTAAATCTCAAGGGAAGAACATGGCTGTTGCCTAAGAGTGATTGTAGGAAAGATCTAATTAGGTGCCAAGTGCCTTCAGCCACCCACACCTGCTCAACCCACTGCCAGAAGGGTTAGCCTGCCTTGGGCATGCTGTCATTTTAGTACCTGTGTCTCCAACCTGTCATCTTTCCTGGGGCCAGGACCAGGGCACAGAACTTAACAGAGCATCAGAAAATTTAGTAGCCAAGGTAAATAATATTTTTAAAAATAAAAACTAATACAAAATGGATGTTGTGCTGGGCTTGGTCATGTCCAACTCTTTGTGACCTCATGGACTGCAGCCCACCAGGCACCTTTGTCCATGGAGATTCTCCAGGCAAGAATACTGGAGTGGCTTGCCATGCCTTCCTCCAGGGGATCTTCCCAATCCAGGGATCAAACCCAGGTCTCCTGCACTGCAGGGGGATTCTTTAACCTCTGAACCACCAGGGAAGCCCAAGAATCCTAGAGTGGGTAGCCTATCTCTTCTCCAGGGGATCTTCCTGACCCAGGAATCGAACTGGGGTCTCCTGCATTGCAGGAGGATTCTTTACCAGCTGAGCTACTGGGGAAGCCCCACAAAAAGAATAAATAATATCAAAACTGCAAATAAAGACATGATCAATACTACTACTTAACTCCTTTCGCTTAAGCTCCAATATGGCTTGGCAAGACATTGTTAATAACTCTGACTTTACTTAAAATTTTACTGAGCTTTTTTGGTATCTCCTTAAATTTTGCACCTCAGGGAAGTTCTGGCCCTGATGTTCTTTTCTTACTTTGTTTGATTTTTTCTGACTAGTTCACACTGTCACTGGCTCCTGACCTATATCACCTCCCGGCCATGGTTTCCATCTTTTCTTTCTATAGTCTAACCTCCAAGAGGTGATGGAGTACATTTGGTTCATAACTGAACCTTCAGCACAGTACCTGGCATACAGTAGCCGCTTCATAAGTGCTCGTTGAATAAACAGAAGAAGAATCTCCTGGAGCCCCATACCTTTCTGGCATGAGGATGGAAAATGCCTTTGGTTGGAGGCCTACCCCAGAGCCTGTTTGGGGGCCATGGATCCCTTTCCAGAATTTTCTTAAACACTAGTAATAGGAAACCAGAAACAATTTATTCTGAGGTTTGAAAGAATCAGAGTTGGTCGACTTAGGTAGATTGAGATGGAATAAAAAAGGTGACTGAATTTATTGGGAGAAAAGAGCAATCAAAATAATATAAGGGTGTTTTCAAATTATCTATTTTGCAAAAGATTCAGAAGGGTATGGCAATTTATACTACTGGAGTTTTATTTGTTTTTTTCTAGTGATGCCTGAAATTTCTTAAGTTTGGGGAGTTCAGGTCACTTACCTTCAATGGTACACTGGTCAGGGACTGGAATCTTCTTTACCATTTCTACAGCATATGCTTTCACTTTACTGAAGTTCTCCTTTAAGTGCAAGTAGAGCTTATCATGGTATTCTACAGGACTTGTGGTTGTCTCTGGAATTTCTTCCTGATAGTTTTTTTTAACTGCTTCTGGCAAATTCTCAGATGCTACATGTATAATACTTTGGTGTGAAACTGAAGAATTTAGTAGCTGTGATCCATCCGTGTCTACCTTAAAGAGTGACCTCTCATGTCCTTGGCCAAGTGGGTCTATTTCTGAAAGAGAGATGCTGGCTGGCATATCTCTGCTCTTCACAGTTTCCCCATCCTCTGTGCTCAAGGGGTTTGTTAGCACAGCGTGCAAAGCCAAACTCTTTGACCTGCAACACAAACAATGGGAAGGTTGAGGCAGGTAAAGAAGCTGAGCTACTGTTCACTGACAAGGAAAAGAAAGAACAATAACACTGAGGCAAAGTTCCTTCCTCTAGAGTAGTGAAACTGAAAAATTAGTGCTATTAATAGATTTGATAAAACATACACATTGTATAATAAGACAAATCTTTGTAGATCTAGGCTACTTCCCAAAACAAAGCTTTAAAAATCAGTTTCACAGCAAACTGGCTGGGAAATGGTAGAGTTATATATTTATATTCTTTTTTTTTCTACTTTTGCTTATGCTTTTTCATCAGAAATCAAGAAAAGCTTTTGCTAGTCATTCTTGATGTTAGCATATTTATACTTAAGAAGTGTTTTTTTAAAAATAAACCATAGATTTGTGATTTTTATTTGTGTTCTCCTTTTAATATAGCAAACTACTTTGGATAATGAAAGCACTGTGGATGAATTTTGCTGTAGGTAAAAGATATTTGAAAACTACTTCATAAAAGTGGGACAGCAAAACTAACAGCACACATGAAATACATATCCTAAAGATCAGCCAAACAAAATTTATACCTGTTAAATCTAATGCCTTTTCTTTCTTCCTTAGAAACTTGATCCAAACTATATCTTCTGATAGAGCCAGGGGTGTTGCCCTCAGCATTTATTTTGTTTTCAAAAGCTTGTATTTTAACTTGGAGCTCTTCATGGTCTTCATTTTCATCTACAGCGAGCTTGGTTTCTTCCAGCTTCTCAAGAAATTCAATTTCAGTGCTGGGTTTTCTCCTAAAAGAATGAAAATCATTGCATTAGATGCTTGTCACATATACTTTGGAGCAGTGTTTCTATCAATTTAACAGCTTCTTATTCAAAACTGAAAACTCTACCTGCTCCATTTTCTAATTTGTCACTTAATAGATATTAATTGAGTAACCATTATAGACATAGGTCTTTGAAATTGCTTTTACAGCATATTCTACCAGAAGTGTAGAAACACTAGTGTTTCTGGCAACTTTATGTTAGAAATAGTTTTTGAAAGATTCAGAGGATGAGAAGCAGGGTTTTTAAAAAAACATTTTTGGTTGTACCATGCAGCATGTGGGATCTTAGTTCCTCCACCAGGGATCAAACCCATGCCCCCTGCTGTGAAAGCAAGGGATCTTAACCAATGAACCACCAAGGAAGTCCCCAAAAGCAGCTTTTATGGTTATCTACCATATTCTTATCTAGTTCTCCAAAGCATGCCTTTCGTATGAAATTCATGCCAGGAATTTTCTAGAAAACATATATGCTGGTCTGTTTGTATTGAAATTATTAGAATAAGAACATTTCAGATGGACTGTATAAACTCATGGTTTTGTTAATTTTATGGAAATCAGTGGGACTCTTCCATTTTATGAAGCAAGAAAAATTTTTCTGAATTTTATTATGTTGGAGGAAAGAGGTTTTTCTACAAATGACATTAATAGTGACAAATATGTTTTTCAGTAGAATTTATAAAATACTCTGTAGGTCATTAAAATTACCTTCTTTAAGGAATAGGTTATCTTTGTTATCCCTCTAAGGGTTAACACAGTGCCGTAGATAGAGTAAGACCCCACAAACAAGCTGCAGAAATAGCTCACTGATGCTCATTGAGATGCTGAACGATTAAAGTAGTATGCATTTGTCTCCCCTTAGGTAGCTAGGTTTAGTCACTAAAGGGTCTCCAACTCTTGCGACCTCATGGACTGTAGCCCGCCAGGCTCCTCTGTCCATGGGACTTTTCAGGCAAGAACATTTGAATGGCTTGCCATTCCCTTCTCCAGGGGATCTTTCCAACCCCGGGATCGAACTCAGGTCTCCTGCATTGCAGCAGACTCTCTACTGACTGAGCTCCCAGGGAAGCCCTATCTTTTCTTACCTGCTTTCTAATATTTAGCCAGTCTAGAGCTAATTTAATTTCAATTTAACAAGCACTATCAACCATACAATATGGGGTTAGGATTCTTTCCTTATAAACACAAGAGTTAATAAACTCTAGAAATCCATTCACCTAGATGGCTTAATAATTCTGTTGGTTATCTGTGTGTATTTACTTGGTTTTCATAAGTATTTTTTCTAGAGGTGGAGGAAAGGGGCCTCAAATTTACAGAAAAATCCTGACTTTTTCAAATGTATGGCTATTTTTCCATAAGAGTCAAAGTAAACCTGGCATTATTTCTTAAGTTAGGGTGAGAAAATACAGTTTTGGTTTTCTTAAGGCACTGCTTTTCTAGGGAAAACTAACACAGAGGGGCTGGTGATTATTTATTTATTTTTTTCCAGTTGCATTCCACCCATTCTAGGGCCATGTCTGCAGTGGGTGAAGGGTTCGATCCAGCAACTTTTCTTGTTGGCCCAGAGAAGGGATTGGCCTCGAGGGAGGGTTTATAGTTTTGGGTCCTCAGGGGCTGGAATCCCCCTGCTAGTCCAGCCTAGTGAGAGATGCTGATGGTGAAAACTGGGAAAGGGAGTGGATCATCCATTAAGTAACAGGACATTAAGTAACTGTTTATTGTATAATAGGGCTTCCCTGATAGCCAGTTGGTAAAGAATCCTGCAATACAGGAGAGGGTGGTTTGATTCCGAGGTTGGGAAGATCTGCTGGAGAAGGGATTGGCTACCCACTCCAGTATTCTTGGGTTTCCCTTGTGGCTCAGCTGGTAAGGAATCCTCCCGCAATGTGGGAGGGCTGGGTTCGATCCCTGGGTTGGGAAGATCCTCTGCAGAAGGGAAAGGCTACCCACTCCAGTACTCCAGTACTCCAGGGTCACAAAGAGTTGGCACAACTGAGCAACTTTCACTTCACCTCACTTATTGTATAATAAGCTACTGCTCAGAAAATTAAGTCACTTTTAATATAACTTTTATAGGCTTCCTATGGTTTTGCATATATAATAAAAAACTTACTTCAATCTCATGCTTGACTGAAATATACATGAGTTGATTTTAAGAACCAGTTCATGGGAATAAATGCTCATCTTGACCATGTTTCTCCTTCTGACATATACAAGATACTGCCTGCTCACAAGTAGATGGGAGATACTGACATCTTCCAGCCAGAAAGCTCTAAAAGCTGAATTTTTACTCCTATTACAAATAAAACCAAGAAGGTGCTATTACTGGATGGTATTTTTAAAACTGTGATGACTATGAAGGTTAATTTTAAAAGATCCAATGAACCCTCTCAAGATGAGAAATTTGGGGGCAGTATTTATTTTCTGTGTTATTTAGTCGCTGTATAGTCATCAGACTAAAGTATTTCTCTGGTTCTTGGTTCATAATCACAGTTAAAAAGTGAAAGATACTTTTATTTTTGAACTTTCTTTTAGAAATTTATATAGCTGGGATTATTAAAACTTAAAACATTTTAAGGCACAAAGTATATCCCAATATACAAATACAAATATACAAATTGAGCATTAAACAAATTTTTAAATCTCAAAACATACGAGTTGTCAGAGATATAGTTTCTCAGGGATTCATTAGTATTTTCTTTCTACATAAAGCTCCGGATTATAAGAGTAGTTACTAGCATTTTCATCGAAAAATTTTTCAAATTTCACATGATTATAGTAAATTTCCTTCAATAATTTTATTGGATCAGTTTCTTATTTTTCTTTAAATAAACTTTTCTTACTTATGGAGATCTTTTATTTCTTGTCCTCTTCATGTCAGGTTCCTCATCTATAAAATGGAGATAATAACTATACTTAACTCACAGCGTTGTTGGGAAGCTGAAATGACGGAACCAGTATAAAGCACGGCTCTTAGCACAAAAGAAGAAGTCAGGGGATGTTAAATTTTATTATTACCATCAATTGCTGTTATTATTATGATGGTAGTTTTATCTTTCCTTGTCTAGGCATTGTGTTAATGTAGTAAGAAAACACCAGTGACCTAGACACAGACAGATCAATATTCCATATCATGGGAGGGAGGCATTGATGACCCCTGGAGAATGCTCTGGCATCAGATTTAAGGAGAGGCCAGCCACTCAGCCCCCTCCCGGCCCCTGTCTCCAGTCACCAAGTGGGGGCTGTGAGGCACCATGAGCTGTGTGTCCGAGCTCCGGTATCTGACAGCATGTCTTCGTGCACCTTCAGGCTGCCTTACAGCATCCCTCTGAGGGCCCTCCAGGCATGAAAGAAGTTATGGGCTATCCTCAGACCTCCACTGACCCAAGGTGAGGTCAGGTGCCTCTAGTTGCAGAGTTGCCAGGTAAAATATAGAGCATTCAGCCAAACTTGAATTTCAGATAAACAACAATTTTTCTTAGTATAGGTTACATCTCTAATGGGACAGAGTAAAAAATGTATTGTCCTATATTAAAATGATTATACTTACACTAAAAAATCATTTACCCTTTACCTGAAATTTAACTGGATTTAAATAGAAATCCTGTATTTCTATTTGTTTCATCTGGTGACCCCCATTCCTGGGTAAATCTCTGCTGCTCTGTGGGCTGGGAACTATAATGCTCATCCTTGTTCCCCTATGGCTGGAACAGTGCTTGACACTCACTTACAGGTACCGGAGTGTTTGCAGAATAGATGAACTGAGACCACCCACATCTCTGAAGCCAGCCTGCTCCTTGTAGCCACAAAAAACCCTCTGGAGATTTACCAGGTGTCTATGAAGCCCTGGCTGCTTTTCCCCATGACTCTGGTCCATGAGGAATAGGGGACAGGGTAATGTCATTTGGTAAATATCAGATATGGAGAGAAGCCAGGAGTAAGAGTAGGAGTGAAAAAAAGGGATTTGCAAAGGGCCAAATAAGTAAAGAAGCAACAATAAAATATTTGGGCCAGAAAAGTCTTCTCTAGATATGAGGCTGATGAATGTTGCTGATGAGTAGGCTTCTTACCACAAAGACTCTCTCTTATACACAATCTTCCTTGTTTTTAAGATTTGGAGATTAAAGAGATGGGAATACCAGACTACATTACCTGCCTCCTGAGAAACCTATATGCTGGTCAAGAAGCAACAGTTAGAACCAGACATGGAACAATGGACTGGTTCAAAATTGGGAAAGGAGTATGTCAAGGCTGTATATTGTCACCCTGCTTATTTGACTTCTATGCAGAGTACATCATGAGAAATGCTAGGCTGGATGAAGCACAAGCTGGAATCACAATTGCTGGTAGAAATATCAATAACCTCAGATGTGCAGATGATACCATCTCTATGGCAGAAAGTGAAGAGGAAATAAAGAGCCTCTGGATGAAGGTAAAAGAGGAGAGTGGAAAAAACTGGCCTAAAAATCAACATTAAAAAAACTAAGATCATGGCATTTGGTCCCATCACTTCAAGGCAAATAGATGGGGGAAAAATGGGAACAGTGGCAGATTTTATTTTCTTGGGCTCCAAAATCACTGCAGATGGTGACTGCAGCCATGAAATTAAAAGACGCTTACTCCGTGGAAGAAAAGCTATGACAAACCTAGACGCTTGCTCCTTGGAAGAAAAACTATGACAAACTTAGACAGCATATTAAAAAGCAAAGACATTACTTTGCTGACAAAGGTTGACCTAATCAAAGCTATGGTTTTTCCAGTAGTCATGTGTGGATGGGAGAGCTGAACCATAAAGAAAGTTGAGTGTTGAAGAATTGATACTTTCAAACTGTGGCGTTGAGGACTCTTGAGAATTCCTTGGACAGCAAGGAGATCAAACCAGGCAATCCTAAAGGAAATAAACCCTGAATATTCATTGGAAGGACTGATGCTAAAGCTGAAGCTCCAATACTTGGGCCACCTGATACA